ATTAATTAAATGAATTCTTTTAAGAGTTTGGATTTAATTAATTATTAGTTGCCCGATTTATGTTTTCTCCTTTAGTCTCTATTGTAGCCCAATAGATTTTTTAATTAATCGAGAGAATAAAGTTCAACCAATATTATATATTGGAATTAATATAGCCGAAAATTAAGTCCCCACTAGACTGCAATTTTCAAATATATAGAGTTAGAGAATGAGTGGGATTTGTTTCCATGTAATCATCTCTATATGTGACTATAATTCCTTGTGTTAAATATATAATAGAGATTAGATTGATGAGAAAGAAGAGTTTTTACACGCCTATTTCACGTTGGAGAGAAATATTTTTTCTCTTCTTCTTTTCTCTCTAAGTTTCTCCATTATAGGTTTAGATTTCTTGAAGTAAAAGTCCACCCTTGTAGAAGAACTAATAATTCGGGATATACAATAGAAGATTATATGTTTTTAGAGCAAACTATAATTTCTGAAATTTCTGAGCAGTTCTACGAAGAAATTCACCATAAACTAACCGTTCATCCGATATGCTTGAAATTTATGCACTAGCTTCCTAACCCATAGTACAATAATTTGCCTGAAGGGTTTTTGCATCAGATCAACCACCTCGGTGATATTGGTGAAGGAAGAGGGCTATAAATTTCTGGACAGCAGTTTTTCGAGGATTGAAGGCTTGGTGTGGATCCTCGTTCGTGCGCCGAAGATAGAAACGAATCTGCTCGCGAAAACAGTAAGTTGCTAGATTAGATTTATTCCGCTTTAAACGAATCTAATCAGAACATGTTAATTAAATTAAAACCGGCTAATCTAGAACCTCTTGCGATTTTTTATTGATTCCTGGGCTTCACATCCCAACAGATAGTTGGGGTCCACAGAGGGACCTGTCCACTTAGGGACTGATTGTAACACCCCGCGTCTCCGATAATTCAATTTTTCATTAATTAGCATCTATTTAGTTAACGTGATTTTATCTCTTATGTGCGTTTATTAGTTTAAGACTTTATTTATGTGATAACCGGTGAAATTTCATATAGAATGCATTAGTCCGAAATAATTTTGGATGAATTTAAATTGATCATCTTAGTTAATTATTAATCTAGAGATTTAATTATACTCCTGTGTTTGCTAGAACTTATTTGTTAGGAGAATTTTAAGTCACATATTTTCTTGAATAAAAATAGAAAATTCCTTCTATCCATCCCTCAATTTTGACCATGGTACAACACAAGACTAAAATTTTCCTTGAGTACAAGCCTCCTCTAGGTGAGCCCATGTTATTAAGATTTTCCCTTTATAAATTTCTTTTTTTTGGTTAAATGAAATTGCAAAGAAGTCCCTCTAGATAATCCCTAAGTTTGCCTAAATTGCAAAAAGACCACTCCTTAATCATTAAGCATGCAAGTCTCCCACAACTCTATAAATAGAACCCAAGCCTTCATCAATTTTCTCATATTCTCCACACATCCTAAAGATCAAAGATCAAAATCTCTTTCTCTTTTCCTCCATTATCGAAATTAGAAGTGTAGGAAAGCCCCAAAAATTATATGCTTATGTGAAAAAATTATTTGACTAATGTGAAATGTTTATTTATTTAAAGTATTAATATGTCGGGAGCACAAACTCGAGCTCAAAATTCCGCTACCGATCCGAACGATCAATCTCGCTCCATACAAGACCTCACCGCCCTCGTCCGAGAACAAAATGAACAAATCCAACGCCTTGTTAACCTCCAAAACCAAAACCCTCCACCTCCACCACCTCAAAATACCGCACCCCAAGCCATTTACGAAAGGTTTCTAAGGATGCACCCCGCCGAATTTCATGGAGGTCCCGATCCAACCGTAGCCGAAGAATGGATCAAATCCCTAGAAGTCATTTTCGATTACATGGAAATGTCCGACCGAGATCAAATCCATTGTTCTCTTTTCCTATTGAAGAACGAAGCACGTCATTGGTGGGAAGGTACGAAAGAAGGAATCGACCTAACAAACACTACTTGGAGCGCTTTCAAAATCTTGTTCTTTGAAAAGTACTTTTCCAAAAACCTCCGAGCTCAGAAGCTAAAGGAATTTCTCGAGCTAAAGCAAGGCAACTTGTCCGTAGCCGAGTACGTAAGGCGATTCGAACAAGGATGTCTCTACGCCCCATTCATATCCCGAGACGCCGACGAAAAGGCCAACCATTTCCTTAGAGGCCTCAACCCGGTGATTCAACGAGATGTCCGCATGTCTTCCGTAACGACTTTTCGGAAAATAGTCGACAAAGCACTCGAAGCAGACCAAGCCGAGCAAGAGATCCGTCAATCTCGATATGTTCCACCCGCCACTACTCACAAATGGAAGAGGCCCCACACCGGACCAAGCCAAAACAAGGGAAAACGTCCAATGTTTCAAAACAATGCTACACCACCAGCCCGACCGATTTGCCCAAAGTGCCAAAAACCTCACTTTGGACCCTGCGTTCAAGGAACCAACAATTGTTATCGCTGCGGAAAACCAGGGCACTTGATAAGGGATTGCCCACAACCCCCGCCACAAAACCGAGCTCCCGATCGAGTGTTCGCAATGACCAAAGATCAAGTCGAAGCCAACCCTTCGATGATAGCAGGTACAATTTACGTTTGTAACAATCTCGTTTATGCAGTAGTTGATTCCGGATCGACTCACTCATTCGTCTCGAGTACCCTGGCCGCCAAGTTCCCGATAACCCCCACCACATCTAGTGAGTTATTCACAATTCGCTTACCATCCGGCAATGACTTAGAATCCGACCTCTTTTTCAAAGATTGCCCACTCCAAATCCAAAAGAAATCACTCAATTCCGACCTCATAATTCTCCCTATAGACCATTTCGAAGTAATTCTCGGAATGGATTGGTTGTCCAAATATAATGCCCAAATCAATTGTGCGACCAAAACCGTCTATCTTTCCTTACCAAATGGCCAAATAGTAGAATTCCAAGGGTCCTATTCACCCTCACTACAAATCCTCTCCGCCGTCAAAACACTTAAACTCGCTCGTAAATGGCATTGTTGTCATTTGGTCGACATAGTGGAAATTTCCGACACAAATAAACCTGACCCTTCAAAAGTACCCATCGTTTGTGATTTTCCCGATGTCTTTCCCGAAGATCTCCCCGTTCTCCCACCCGATTGTGAAATCGAATTCGAGATCAACCTAATTCCCGGTGTAACTCCCATTTCCAAAGCACCCTACCGCATGGCCCCGTTAGAACTTAAAGAACTCAAGGACCAAATTCAAGAGCTTATCGATAAGAAGTTTGTTCGCCCTAGCTTCTCTCCTTGGGGCGCTCCCGTCCTCTTCGTCAAAAAGAAAGACGGAACCCTCCGCCTATGTATCGACTACCGAGAGCTTAACAAAGTCAAGATCAAAAATAAATATCCTCTACCGAGAATCGACGACCTTTTCGACCAACTCCAAGGCTCCACGGTGTACTCAAAGATCGATCTCCGTTCCGGATATCATCAATTGAAAATTAAGAAGGAAGATATCCCAAAATCCGCTTTCCGAACTCGTTACGGCCATTACGAGTTTGTAGTAATGCCGTTCGGTCTAACCAACGCCCCAGCCGCTTTCATGGATCTAATGAACCGAATCTTCCGAAAGTAACTCGACCAATTTGTGATCGTCTTCATCGATGACATCTTAATCTACTCCCGAAATGATGAAGAACACGGAGAACATTTGAGAATCGTGCTCCAAACCCTCCGAGAAAACCAACTTTACGCAAAATTCTCCAAATGTGAATTTTGGTTACGCCAAGTCCACTTCCTTGGGCACGTGATCTCGAAAGAAGGAATATCGGTTGATCCAAGCAAGATCGAAGCCGTTTGCAATTGGCCGACTCCCCGAAATGTTGGAGAAATTCGAAGCTTCCTCGGTCTCGCGGGTTACTATCGACGATTCGTTCCGAACTTCTCCAAAATCGCTTCTCCACTCACTCGATTGACCCGAAAAGAAGCCAAGTATCAATGGACCGCCGAATGTGAGTCTAGCTTCCAAGAGCTCAAGAATCGATTAACTTCCGCCCCAATTCTTGCCTTACCCGACAAAAAACCGGAAACTACGTAGTCTATAGCGATGCTTCCAAGCATGGACTTGGAGACGTCTTGATGCAAAATGGGAACGTAATGGCCTATGCCTCTCGTCAATTGAAAGACTACGAGAAGAACTACCCGACGCATGACTTGGAACTTGCCGCCGTAGTTTTCGCCCTCAAAATTTGGAGGCACTATCTCTACGGAGAGAACTGTTCGATCTTCACCGACCACAAAAGCCTAAAGTACTTCTTCACCCAAAAGGAACTTAACATGAGACAAAGACGATGGCTCGAATTGGTCAAAGATTACTATTGCAAAATACTTTACCACCCCGGTAAAGCTAATGTCGTGGCCGATGCTCTTAGCCGGAAGTCCATGTGCGCTTTGATCATTGAACCGCCGCTCGAGTCGACTATTAAATCCGCCCAACTCCTTGATGATCAACTTCTAAAAATCCGAGAAAGCTTATCAACCGGTCGAAATCCCAATTTCTCGACCTCCGATGGCGAAGTCTTAAAATTCCAAGGAAGAATTTGCGTTCCGGCAAACAAAGAGATAAAAGAATTAATTCTCGGCGAAGCTCATAAAACCCCCTACTCTTGCCACCCGGGTGTAACAAAAGTGTACCAAGACTTGAAGAAATTATATTGGTGGCCCGGAATGAAGAAAGACATAGCCAATAGAAATGGCGCCATACGAAGCATTGTACGGAAGAAAATGTCGATCTCCAATCCATTGGGACGAAGTCGGCGAGCGAAAATTATTGGGCCCCGAACTAGTCCAACACACCGTCGACATAATCAAAAACATCCGGGAGAAAATGAAGTCGGCCCAAGATCGCCAAACAAAATACTCTAATAAAAGGAGACGAGACTTAGAATTCAATGTTGGCGACCACGTATTTCTAAAAGTCGCTCCACTCAAAGGAATTATGCGATTCGGAAAACGAGGGAAGCTAAGCCCTCGATATATTGGACCTTTCGAAATTCTCAATCGAATCGGTACTCAAGCCTATCGCCTTGCCCTACCACCACATCTATCTGGAATACACAATGTCTTTCACGTATCCATGCTCCGAAAATACCTTCCTAACCCCGACCACGTCCTTGAATTCGAACCTATAGACTTATCCCCAAACCTATCTTTTATCGAAGAACCCGTTAAAATCTTAGACCGAAAGGTTAAGAAACTCCGAAATAAAGAAATCCGCCTTATCAAAATTCTTTGGAAAAACCATTCTCCGGACGAGGCAACGTGGGAACTCGAGGATGAGATTGAGAGTCGGTACCCGAACATAATAAAGAAAGGTACAAATTTCGGGGACGAAATTTCTTTAAGGGGGAGAGATTGTAACACCCCGCGTCTCCGATAATTCAATTTTTCATTAATTAGCATCTATTTAGTTAACGTGATTTTATCTCTTATGTGCGTTTATTAGTTTAAGACTTTATTTATGTGATAACCGGTGAAATTTCATATAGAATGCATTAGTCCGAAATAATTTTGGACGAATTTAAATTGATCATCTTAGTTAATTATTAATCTAGAGATTTAATTATACTCCTTTGTTTTCTAGAACTTATTTGTTAGGAGAATTTTAAGTCACATATTTTCTTGAATAAAAATAGAAAATTCCTTCTATCCATCCCTCAATTTTGACCATGGTACAACTCAAGACTAAAATTTTCCTTGAGTACAACCCTCCTCTAGGTGAGCCCATGTTATTAAGATTTTAAGATTTTCCCTTTATAAATTTCTTTTTTTTGGTTAAATGAAATTGCATAGAAGTCCCTCTAGATAATCCCTAAGTTTGCCTAAATTGCAAAAAGACCACTCCTTAATCATTAAGCATGCAAGTCTCCCACAACTCTATAGATAGAACCCAAGCCTTCATCAATTTTCTCATATTCTCCACACATCCTAAAGATCAAAGATCAAAATCTCTTTCTCTTCTCCTCCATTATCGAAATTAGAAGTGTAGGAAAGCCCCAAAATCTCTCTTTCAAGAGTAAAATTCTTGGCCAAAGGAGTAAGTGTTCTTCATCTTCTTTCTTTTCTTCATTTTCGAAAATTTCAAGAAGCTAAGCTTCTTCTTCCCCTCTCTCTAAAATTTCTTCTTCTCCTCCTTGTAGAAAGGAAATAACACCCTTCCAAATTTCTAAGGAGATTAAGGTGAGAATTTTTGAATTCTTGCTACAAGTGCTTCAACACCAATAGTATTTTTCTTCTCTTTAATTTCTTGTTAATGTTCTTGTGGTGACCGAAAACTAAAGGAGAAAGAAAATAAAATTTTGTGTTTAATTTATGCTTTGATCATCCATGCATGTAAGAATCTATGCTTTAAATGATATAATCTTGAAGAACTAAGAATAATATTGTAATTTTATTTTTATGTATGTAAATATAGATATACTAGACCTGCGTGATCTTAAGGAAACTTCGATCCATGGTTTTCGTAAACCTGCGTGGTCGAAGAAAGTACTTGATCCATGGTTTATTTATAATCTATATGTGCTATATATATAAGTATATGTTTCTATGTGTATATATATATATATATATCGACCTACGCGGTTGTAAGTGTACTCCCTTCGGGTCGAGGAAGCTTGCAATCCATGGTTTATGATCTATGAGTAATAAGATAATATACGAAGTAAAAACCGAGGACAAGATTAATAAAAATGGAATTTTGTGTGATTGAATTGTTGATGGTTCGAATATTTTGGAAAGAAAATGAAATAAATGGAAATTTGGTGCTACTTGAAAGAAAACTTCAAGTCTCTTGAGAAAGAGGGCTTGAACTTTAATTAATGAAACTTGGAGATAGTAATTACAAATAACCGAATGCTTTGAGTTGTTTTGCTATATGTGTAAATGTGTGATCTATGTTCTTTGCTTGAGTTGTTATGTGTCTAACTTGCTTTTGTGACTAAACTATGTGCCTTTGTGAAATATGTGAAAATATGTGTACTTATGTGAAAGCTAACTTTGAATATGTGAAATGAAGAATATATACTAACTTCACTTGCACGTTTTTAAAGTTGGAAAATCTTGTAAAACATAGATCGAATAAGCACGGGGTATGAGGGACCGGTACCCCAAAAATGAGATGAAGAGTGTGTGGTTTGATTCCACTTATGAAACGGGTTCCAAATAAATGAAGGCTTATTGTCTATGGTTTTACTTGATTTTTCAAAGGATATCCGAACGAAAAATGTTTTATCACACACCTAATCAAATTGCTTGAAATGAATGAAAATATGTACTAACCTCACTTGCACGTTTTTAAAATTGGAAAGTCTTGTAAAACATAGATCGAATAAGCACGGGGTATGAGGGACCGGTACCCCAAAAATGAGATGAAGAGTGTGTGGTTTGATTCCACTTATGAAACGGGTTCCAAATAAATGAAGGCTTATTGTCTATGGTTTTACTTGATTTTCCAAAGGATATCCGACTAAAGAAAATATTTTTTCTCACACGTTGTATGAGCACTTGAATTAATGTGTGTGTAAAAGAATGACGACTCCCTTGTAAGGGATTTACTCTTATTCCTTATGAAATGATGAAAGGAAGGTCTAAGAGGTAAAATGAGAAGGTCTAAGAGGTATCCGAGAAGGTAAAGGTAAATTGGTAGAGTTCCTCAATGAAATGACGATTGAGGTAAAATCGAAATGTTTTTATTGTGTATATGTGTGATTTGAGATGTGATATATACATATATACATATCATAAATATATGCTTGTTTGCCTATGTGTATTCGGTATTTCTTCGGAATTCTCATTGAGTCCAAAAGACTCATATAGGTGTTGAAATGCTTGTAGGTACTTTCAATCCCGAGCACGAGTCGTAAAGTTGGAGTCGAGTTCGAGGATCGAGGGATGTGTTCATATGGAAGGCGTGTGGATCTTGTGTGCTCTTGACTTAGCCATATTGTTTTACTTATATAGTTTAATTTTAAAGACTTTCGATACCGTCTTAGATATCTATTATCGTACTCTTCCACCCCTCGGAGGATCTTCTTAGTAAGAACATTGCATCTAATAATAATTAGGATTTTGATTTCCTCTTTTTGCCAAACTTCTATATAATGCTTACCGGTTAATTATATGTTGTGTTCTGCCCTGTTGTTCGATAATCCGTATTAAATATATTTTCAGTTTATAATTGCATGTAATTTTACAGAGTCATAGGTCTTTCTGTTAGGGTTATTTTGGTAGGTCTTTTGCATTATTTGGACAAGTCACGAATGTATTATGAATTAATTTCCGTAATTGTGCACATGCTGAGTCATTTTAGGACATGCATCAATATATGAAGTTTTTCTTACTCAAATGAATCCATTTAACTTGGAGTATATTTCTAACTCACTGATCTACTTTGGTATAAAATTTGGTAGTTTTTAGAACAGTAGGGAATTTATAAATAATTTTCAAATCTCCCTCTCCTGTTCTGGATTTTCAAACTGTACAGTTGCATGCCTTTAATTATTTCTCTCAAACGGTTTATGATATTTTAAAACTGTTTTAAAGAAGTAATTTAGACCCATATGAGAGTACGTGGTTAAATTTTCAAAGTATGTTCATGAAGGGTTTAAGAGAAATTAATTTTCGAAGTTGATCTACCTAATCTGTCCGAAATTCGTCTCGTTACTCTTGATAATTTAAATAATCTAGTCATTCATGTTCCTTTTTGTGATATTTGGTTAATTGTATATGATATGATATTTATTATGTGGACACTCTTCCTCTGATTTTAAAATTTATGCTTAACTTTCTATTGGTAGAAGGTGATTATTAAAACGAGCATTCCACACTCATTATTTTCTATAAGTCTTCCGCTAGCATATTCTAAATTACTAAGTAAGTGTAATTAGAAAATGGGTGTCACACATACGTGGTATCAGAGCAACGTACCCCGGAAACTTCCATATGAACTTAAAGATCTCCGAGATTCTCGAAGTACGACATCGACTAAACACTCGGGCAGGTATCTATGTATATATATCAGTGTTCTAAATATCGATCGTGGCGGTCGATATATCGGCCGCCATATCGGTGGCAGACATAAACCTTTACGATATCTGTGTGGCGGTTTTGAAAATCGGTTTTTGGACGGTGAGGCGGTCCGAGGCGGTCTGTGGCGGGTCAAACTAACCGATATATCGAGTCAAACTTCGAACGATATATCGGAAAAATATTTGTTTTTATTTTTTTTATTTATTTTTTTATTTTTTTTATTACAAGGAAAATAGGTGTTTATTTTTTATTTTTTTTTTAATTCTAATCCATTATCTCTTTCAATCAAACCCAAACTCACCGACCCCGTAAGAAGAACCTGACCTTGAAAAAAAAAACACAAAACAATCCACACACCGCAGCGGAATTCTCTATATCACTATTATTAAACTTTCGTTATGTGATTAAAATATATAAACGATGAGTAGAGAATCATGTTCAATTTTGTTTATACGTTTTAAGTATTTACAAATAATATTTAGAAATATATTACACTAAATTTAAAAACCGATTTATTTCCGATATATCTCCGATTAATCACCGCCGCCCCGATTTATCGTGTGGCGGTCCCTAACCGCCTCGGACCCGATAACCGATATTTAGAACCTTGATATATATATATATGCTTATGTGCAAAAATTATTTGACTAATGTGAAATGTTTATTTATTTAAAGTATTAATATGTCGGGAGCACAAACTCGAGCTTAAAATGCCACTACCGATCCGAACGATCAATCTCGCACCATACAAGACCTCACCGCCCTCGTCCGAGAACAAAATGAACAAATCCAACGCCTTGTTAACCTCCAAAACCAAAACCCTCCACCTCCACCACCTCAAAATATCGCACCCCAAGCCATTTACGAAAGGTTTCTAAGGATGCACCCCGCCGAATTTCATGGAGGTCCCGATCCAACCGTAGCCGAAGAATGGATCAAATCCCTAGAAGTCATTTTCGATTACATGGAAATGTCCGACCGAGATCGAATCCATTGTTCTCTTTTCCTATTGAAGAACGAAGCACGTCATTGGTGGGAAGGTACGAAAGAAGGAATCGACCTAACAAACACTACTTGGAGCGCTTTCAAAATCTTGTTCTTTGAAAAGTACTTTTCCAAAAACCTCCGAGCTCAGAAGCTAAAGGAATTTCTCGAGCTAAAGCAAGGCAACTTGTCTGTAGCCGAGTACGTAAGGCGATTCGAACAAGGATGTCTCTACGCCCCATTCATATCCCGAGACGCCGACGAAAAGGCCAACCATTTCCTTAGAGGCCTCAACCCGGTGATTCAACGAGATGTCCGCATGTCTTCCGTAACGACTTTTCGGAAAATAGTCGACAAAGCACTCGAAGCAGACCAAGCCGAGCAAGAGATCCGTCAATCTCGATCTGTTCCACCCGCCACTACTCACAAATGGAAGAGGC